TTCATCAGGCTTGGAGAATAGGAAGGTGGCATACAAAAAATGGATATCTTTGAACACATTTGATTGGCACATGTTCCCAGTTCCAAAATGTTAAACAAATTAACAGAGAATTAAAGATTGCTTAAGACTGCACTTACTGTATTCTCAACTGAATCAAATTTAAATGCAATCAGGTAGAATGAGTGAAGAGATGCATACTGTATAGGCATTAATGTTCATTTCAACAAGTTCACACACATTACCAGGTACTGTACATGTTACATGTTTTCTTTAAGAAAGATTCCGAAGCACAACTTTGTTTTTGATTTGTAATCAAGTCATATAGAGCCTACATTTCCAAGATGATTATAATATCAGTGTGGTTTAATGGCAGTGCCCCTAACATTGCACAAATGTTTGCTTAATAAGCGGCAGCAGCATTATTAATAATAATAACAACAATTATAATAATAATAATAATAATAATAATTTCTTACACTTATAAAGCACTTTTCTGGACACTCCAATCAAAGTGCTTTACAGGTAACCACCACGTAGATGATGTGACGCCAGCCAAAGTGCACCAGTACGCTCCCCACACACCAGCTCTCGGTGGGGAGGAGAACAGAATGATGAAGCCAATTCAGAGATGGGGATTATTAGGAGGCCATGACTGGTAAAGGCCCATGGGAAATTTGTCTAGGACACTGGGGTAATGGAGTAATGACCACAGAGAGTCAGAACCTCTCTTCTGAAGGATGACACCTTTTTACAGTATAGTGTCCGCATCACTATACCTGGGCACTAGGACCCACAGAGACTGAAGGGTGAGCGCCCCCTATTGGCCCCACTAACACCTCTTCCAGCAGTGACCTTAGTTTTTCCCAGGAGGTCTCCCATCCAGGTACTGACCAGGCTCACACCTGCTGAGCTTCAGTGGGCTGCCAGTTGTTGAGTTGCAGGGTGATATGGCTGCTGGCTGAAAGCATTGAGCCCAACATTTTGCACTTTATTTTTGGAATAATGTCAGCTGTCTGTTCCTGCATCACAATGCTAGCATGAAAAAGACTTTACAGTCCAGGTGTTTCCATTTTAATTTTACTCCAGTGGGCGTATCTTTGTGAGAACTCAAACATCTGTACTGTAGGTATTATCTCAAAACTGGTAATGGACCTAAATACACAGTGTATGTGGTGCTACGATTATGGATCTCTGAGATCCATAATGGATTTCAGTGTTGATCAATAGTGTGTCAGTATTTCTAGGTATATAATTCAAGATAGAAATGCTATGAATAAATGTCAAGAGTCGGTGCTGCATTTTGTATTGAACAACACTAATGGAGATAAGCACTCACTGAATCCTAAAATGACATATTATGCCATCGGTACTTCCAGGCAAATAATTTGTATGTAACAGCAGCTCAGATTAAAATGTGAAAAAAAAATGCAGAAAAAAAATCAACAGCTTTCAGTTCAGCTCCTATGCAAACCATCACGTATTACAGTAAAATGAATTAATCACAAACACGGAAAGCTTTAAATCTACATGTAGTTTGAATAAAACCTCCAGGATACTTGCAGGCACATCTCAAAAACAGCATAACGGATTTCTTGGTTTTGTAGGTGACTGGCACATGTCTAGTTTCCCTGTAGAGTTCCACAGATTGTCAAATGAGATTTAAGACTGCTCTGCTCAAAAGCGTAGCATGTTGCATTATTAATAAAGCAACAGTGCCAGGCTTTGGATTAGAGGGTTACTGAAACACAGCCCACTGTATGGCTTTGCATTGTTTTCATTTTCAAGACCCTATACCCAGCATCAGTATGAACACAATATGTTCATTATATACACAAGATTTTATTTAGATTTGTTTTAATTTTTTTTCTATTTACAATTAAACGCACTTGGTTAAAAAATAATGTAATAATGTTGATGACAGGATTTATGCAGAAGCTCTATATGTTGGACTGTTCGTAATTGAGTCTGAGAATCTGGTCAGCTTGCTGCCCCCTATAATCGTGTGTTGTTAAGTATAACTGTTTCATGATGAATGAGAGGAAAATCTAAATTTGGTTCATATTGCAGTGTGATTTAATATACAGTAGTACTGTCTTGTTTCCATTAATACATCCATTTGCCCTTACCAGCTGAAATGTTAAACATTCCCACTCACATAATACCAACCGTTTCACTCAATCACTAGCTGAAGTGTTTCTTTGAGATTAGTAACCTTTTGTTTCATTTTTATAAATTCAGCCTTGTGCAATACTGACATGAAAAGGCAGCAGGATGAGCAAGCAGTGTCCAGACGCTTCTGACAGTCACAGGTGCAATACAGTGATTTCTGGATTCACATGCCCTGAGATGACTAAATTGGCAGGAACCAATTCTCATCTGGCCGAAGTAGTTCCCACTGACTACGGTAGATGCCTGGAAGGCCATCAGAAGCCTGGCCAAGGAAAGACTCATTCATGTGCATTAATCATCTCCACCGTACGCGTTGATTGCATTTGCTGGATGCAAGGATACAGTTTAAACGATGATGACACTCGTTTATCCTGCTTCTTCATTTTATGTGTTGGTTAAGGCACTTGAGCATTTAAAACATCTGAGGAGAAAAAGAGTTCAACAACACGTGCTGCATATACAGTACCTGTCTAGCTACCAAAAATCCTGAAATGTGGCTTTATAACTCTGAAAATTAAATTGAATTATCAGTGATATAAAGAGTAATAATCGTACAGTATGTGTATAAAATGCCACAATCCTGTACATTATAGGCTGAAGTCTAATCAGCAGCCTGCAAGAGCCCAAGATTCACTAGATTCACGATCCAGGACAAACCGCATTGTAAGACAAAGGAATGCAGTCAAAAACACTTCCTTTAAATCACATCTAGAAAGTGAAGCAGAAAGTCACTGTAATCAAGTAGGCAATGGAGTTTATTACTGTAATGTAATTAGCTATCGTTCCTATCCTGAGAAAGTGATAAACGGATCCATTTTACATCCATTTGCCTCCACAGAATGGTAAATTTACAACCATTATATTAAAGGGTTTGGCTTTAAAACTTTTACCCTCAACAGGGAAAAATCAATATGGCTGCGTTGTACTGCTAAGACAATAACATTCTTATATTGCTTGCTCATTTAAGAAGCCTCCTCATGAATGAAGTTGCTAAGAACAAATCAACATTGTTTGACTGTATAATTCCTAAATATACCAGACAACAGAATATCTCTGTTTTCTCCCCAGTCCTTTGTATGCACCTTGCAGTAACAATTTGCAAAAGACAGAAAATGTATTTTAATGACTGAAAAGCCTCTGCTCTGAAGCACAGCACATCTCCCATTTAATGTGTGTTTAGGTTGACGGTCATAAAAGCTATTATCTTCCCAGGTTTACTGTACATTCAGCATTATAGCAAAAGAATTGCTTCTCAACCTAAATAATTAAACAGACACACAAACCACATACAAATAAATGCACAAAAGCATTTGGGCTGCCTTATTGTCTATTCTCTATACAATGAAAAGCGTTTGGCAAATACACTGCTGAATACTCCATACCTTCTGCTGAAGGTAGAGCAGGAGAACTGGGGCAGAGACAACACAATGGCAACAGCTTAACATTCTAATTGAAAATAGACAGACAAGCCAGAGTAATTTAAAATAACATTTTATTCCAAGGTGCTATCATGACTGATACCAAATACAGAACTTGTGTAAAAACAAATGTTTACTGTCGGATAGAGTAATTTACAAAAAAAATCTTTACATATTTTTAAGAAAATGATATATTGATGGGATATGAATATTTTCACCTTTTTAGCTTTTATGATGAGTTTTAATTTTTTAAAGCTTTAGCTGCTTAGCCCAAAAAATCACCACATCTCATACTGTATGCAGAATTAGGTTGTTTTCACATAGAATGAACTACCAAAAAGAGCCACAATGACAAAGAATGATGGCCAAAAATTCTCCCAAATAATAACATTTATAGGCCAGTACTGACTATAAAAACACTGCAGCAAGAATTTTGTTCCCCAGCATTTCACTGCACTGTTTTAAAGGCATCTCCCAAAGTAAAACAGCAATTTACCAAATAGAAAAGGAATTATAGCATCAGCCTCCAGGTTTTGGGAACCCCTTCCCTTTAAACTTTATAGCTCTGAACAGCCCACTTACACATACAGTACTTCTATCTTCTATTCTACAGAAAATCCACTCTACAGTCAATCTGCTTACTTTGCTCATTTTACTTTACAGCTGAAGCAGAAGGTGCATTCCTCCAAAGTTTAAAGGGAAATACTGCCAAGTTTCTAACCAAATTACTCTTCCAGATGCAGGACAGGACACTAGGAATGTGTAGCAGTACTGTAGTAGCAGCAGTAGTATTATAATAATAAGGAACAAGTAATACAGAAGGTTTATTCCATGCTGAAAAGAGAAGAAAGAAAACACAACATTTCGGCTGTGGAGCCTTCTTTAGGTGTGAGTGGCATGATCTCATTGGGTCTCCTGGCCCAAAACATTGTTTTCTTTCTTCTCTTTTCAGCATGGAATAAACCTATTACTTCTTCCTTTGTAGCCTATGCATGCTGACACAGCTACCCACCTGAACTACTATAATAATAATAACAACAATAATAATAGAAAAAAAACAGAAAAGGGTTATTATTGACCATAATGGGATACTACAGCTATAAGTTCAATCACATAAAAAACACACTTCATGTCTGATTTAATACTAGACTGAGAAAAAACAGCAGATCTTTGAAACATCAGGCTCTGACAACACACTGAGATCAACATGATGGAAAACTAATTACAATTGCCTTTCATGAGAAAAGGGAGAACACAGAAATGAGTAGTTTGAAAAAAAAATGACAAGTTATTGTTGTCATTTATAAAAGCATCACGTTTTACATGAGAAAGCAGAAAAGAGCTTTGTAAAGGAACCATCGAAGGCAGATGAAGAAGCAGAACCAGTATAGTGGAAGGTTATCAGACACCTACCGCTTATCCATTTTGCTTCAGGGTCATGTACAGCAAAATCGGGTTTAAAAAGATCTTCCACAGAAAGTTTAGTCTCACTCCCACTTGAGGTGTCATCTGCAAAGTAATAATAATACTTATTTCTTTGATAGGCTTAAAATCTATTCCTTTCTTTGCCTTGAGGAAGTCAGTTTTAATAGATGCTTCAAAGAAATTACTGTTAAATTCAAGGATTGAAATTCGAAGCCAATTTTACACCCAAGATGAATGGACACCATGGTCCAACTTTATCTTTTAAATTTCTTACAGGATATCAACTCACTACTTTGAACTCCTATCATCTATGACTGCGTAAGGAATAGATGTAGTGCAACATCATTTTCATGCAATAACAGTGATGGGGTGGCTAGCCACCTTTGAAAATGAAATGAGGGCAACACAAAGTGATGAAGGTTTGGGTTCCAGACACTGCTGCTGTACACTTGAGCACAGTACTTTATCTCAGTGGCTGCAGTCCACTGACCTAGCAATGCAAGGGGTAGCCCAGCAATGAACTAGGATAATCTCTGGCCTTTGAGCCTCTAGCCTGGGGTATGGGTCTGACCTACTGTACTAAGCATCAACAGCACAAATCTAAAGTCCTTGCTTCGAAGTTATGTGCTTTGTTTTCTTT